TCATTCTTAGGAGCTTCTAATTAATACAGGAATTATATTAAGATTTTTTCAGAGTGGATTTCCAAACTAGTTCCATTGTTAACTAAGAAACAGAAATTTGAATGGAAATAAGAGCATTCAAAGGCTTTTGAGCAAATCAATAAAAAAATCACCGAAATTACTTATCTTTCATTTCCAGAATTAGGAAAACACTATACTATTTATACTGACGCATCATATTATGATATAGGAGCTGTATTGACTCAAATTGATAAGGACAGAGATCAAACTAAATTCATTTATTACACATCGAAAAAATTAAATGAAGTACAACAAAGATGGAGTACGGTTGAAAAAGAATTATTTGCTATAGTAGTAGCATGCGAAACATTCTGTTATTATATTAAAGGATCTATGACCTTAATTAAAACATGTTGTAAAGGTATTATTGGGATGGATTCAATTAATACTGGAAAATTATATCGATAGAAGTTAAGACAATATGAATTTAACTTAGAATTTGAACATATTGAAGGAGTTCAAAATAGTTTAGCTGATTATATCACTAGATAAATAGAAGATGAAACAGATCTTCCTAATTACATGACCTTATATTGTAGTAAACCTCAAGAATTATGATGATTTATATGTTATACCTTCTTGCGAGGAAATAGCAAATGAAGCAAGAAATGATAAAGATAACATACCGAGAAACGTAGTATGGAAGATGATTTCCCAGTTCACTATAGAACAGGAGGATTATATATATAAGAAAAATATAGAAATCATTTAATGTATTGGTCTCATAGTAGTAAATTCGCAGGACATTGTGGAGTAAATAAAACACTAAAGAAAATACAAAAACATTTTTGGTGGCCCAATATTAGTAAAGATATTGAAGAATACGTCACAAATTGTTTAGTTTGTCAAGTAATTCGTAATAGGAAATTTAAACCTAATAATAACCAAGCTTTATCAAAACCGAATGTATTTAATATGGTTTCATTAGATATTATAGGACCTAAAACATGGAAAGGTACAGAATACTTTATACAAGTAGCAATAGATAATCATTCACGTTTTATGGTGACGAACATAACTAATAAAACACCTAATGCTATGGATGCAATTAACATTATAAAGAAAACATGGATATCCATATTTGGATGCTCTATAAGCATTTTAACAGATCGCGGTTCAATTTATACTAGTCAAGAATTTCATGACTATTTTACAAAAGAAATACAGGTTAAATTGCATCATACCAGCACATATTATCCACAAGGAAACTGTATAAATGAAAGGTCTCATAAAAGCTTGATTATATCATTAAGACTTTATATGAAGAAAAAGATATACCTTTTGAAGAAATAGTACAAAATGCAGTACTAATATGTAATAATACACCTCATGCAGCGAAAGGAGAAACACCCTATTTTGCTATGTTTAGAGTGGATTGTATTTGTCCGGGGTTTGCAAAATTATTACCAGAAACAACTTATGAAATGAGTATTATATATTTAAAAGATAGATGGAAAAACATACATGAAGATGTTAATGAAATCAAAAGAAAACCTATAATTAAGAATAAAAATATTAAGGTTGGAGATATTATCTCATACGAATTATCCGAATACAAAAGGAAACAAATGAAACACTATAGTAGAAATATACAATATAAACCATATTGTTCATTTCCTCATAGAGTAACTAAAATTGAAGGCAGAATTCTGAAATTATTACCTATATATTATAGAGCTAAAGAAGTACAAATTCCAATGTCAAAAATAAAATTGTTGAGTAACAAAACCAGGGAAATATATAAAAGGCAACTGCACAATTTAATACAAGTTACAAATAAGAATAAACGGAAATTAAATCTGACGCATGATTTAAAGTATAAGGATTACCTAGATAGTCATAAACGGAGTAGTATCATAACGTGTGATATCAACGATAATCAGGACAAGCAAATTGAAAAAGGAGTACAAAAAGGAATTGATGTAATAAAACAATACTAATACAACATACTTTAAGTAATAACAATTACTTTCCCATGGTGGTGGAGTATAGTTAATAAAAGTCTTTATAAACCTTTTTGGAAAATAAAAAGACTAGTTAAATGAAGAATACGAAGTTCGTCATACATAGACACACAAAAAAAAAAATTGATGATTTTTTTTTTTGTCTGTATTTTTTTTTAAAAAAAAAGTACAAAGATTTTCAGGAAAAATTTTGATAAAAAAAAAAAAAATACAAATATCGTAAGGAAAAAAAATTGATCAAAAAGTCAATTAGAAAAATATTTGTTACCATTAAATAAATATAAAAAAAGAAAAAAAGAAAAAAAAAGATTTTTTCTTTTTGGAATGAATTATGATTTTAATGAATTTTATAAGAGAAAGTTTTATACATATAACAATGAAATTTTCATGTAATTAACATTCATATAATTTATTTGCGTTTTTTCTAATTGTTTATGTTTGTTAATTCAACAAAAATATATATTAATTGCTGAATGTAGCTCATAATAAATAACTAGTAAATTACAATTAATTAATAATTAATGTTCAATAAGGATTTAAATTTTTAATAAGAATAAAGATTTTTATTAAAGTAAATAAATGTCTATTGAAATTAAGGAATGACGAATGAAGTATATTACGTATATAATGATCACTCATTCAAAGCATTTAAAATATATCCAAATACATCAAAACCGTAGAGGCAACTCTATATGCTCTTTATTAATTCGTTTGTTCAGTACTCTAATAAAGTTAGCGAACACCCATTTAATAAAACATGCACAATTGTATAATAAATAAAAATAAAATTGTTTTCTTTAAAATAAATAATCTTAAAAATAAGTACTAAATATATAACGATAACCAGAATTTAATTAATCCATACTCAACAAATAAGGTTACAAAAAATTTAAACCAACAAACTTCTAATAACTTAAAACTTAATAAATTTTTACTCAATAAACATAATCATCACCCTTTTCCTAACAACTTGCATATTCCAAATAAATTTTCTAAAATTCAACAATAAAATTTTTATAAAATTTATACCATGCCATAATATTCAAATAATTAATTTATCTGTTATCTTCTCTTTTTTTTTTAATATACTTATTCATTCTTAATCATAATGTCAACTTAATAATATAAATAAATAAAAATAAAAAAAATTATAAAAAATGGTAAATAATTATTAAATTTTTTATAATGAAAAACTATAAATATAATCATAAACATTCATAAAAAAATAGGTTTCACCTATAATATTCCTGCGAAAAAAATAATCAACTCCCATAAAAATCATATAAAATGCTAAAAAAAAATAAAATACATTTACTTTGATCACAGACTTTCTCAGTAAATCATTCATTGTAATTTATATTGTAAAAATATAAATATAAAAAAAAAAAAAAATTGAACAAAACGATAAATTTTATTTTTTTTTTTTTTTTATTGTTTTTTATCCAGAAAAATCAAGTTTCATAAATTCATCTCACACTTTTCATTCATTTTTTTTTCAATGTAATGATATCTTATTTCTAAGAAACTTTTGTTAATAAACTATTGTTATTTTTATTTTCTGAAATCATTATAAGAAATATTTTAAAAAAAATAATCAGAAAAGAATTTAAATTTTCTTGTATTCATAGTAAAAAATTCTAAAATAATAAAATAATATCTCAAAGAATGTCAAGTACATATATATATATTACCAAATAAAAATTGCTTAATAAAAAAACAAAAAGATTAATATAGTTATAATGAAAAAATAAGTGCATTACTTATTAACTTCAATTTTAGCTTTTTTTTTTAATAAATATATATTTCATCAAAAATATAACTAAATTATAATGCACTAATTTGTCACCAAAAATTTAAATATTAAAGTAAAAAAAAATTGGAATAACTTTAATCTGCGTTTAAAATTTAATAATTTAACAACAAACAATATAGATTTTTATAATTGTAAGTCATTTTTCTATTAAGCTTAAAATATTTTTTTTATGAAAATATATATGAATAAATAAAATATCCTATTATAACTACCACTCATAGAATTTACATGTATATATATGTTTTTTTTTTTTACGTATTTTATATTTTATAAAAATATTATTTAGATCCTTTATAATAAGAATTATAAGTTATTAAGTACATTATATTATTTATATATAAACTATATTTTACTTCTTTAATTATATAAATTTACTATTCAAAAAAAAAAATGCTCTAAATATATTATATAATAATTAAATTCTTTATTCAAAATACAAAAATTAAATAATCATATCATTATTTGAAACTTACATTCATAATCATATGATTATATAAAAAATTTAAGAAAACACAGAAAAAAAGTTAAAATAATTTCTTTTTTTTATACTATTTTTTTTTTTTAATTATAATTTCATAACATAAAATGATGTTTTGCCATATCAATTATTTTATTTTTTTTTTTCTTAATTTTAATTTTATAAATTAAACTTTTGTTTTATTAATTATATTTTTTCGTGTTATTTGAAAACTAATGACATTATTGATACATGAAATTAAAAATTTAATATTCTACACAAAAAGCAAAGAAAAAATTCACTTTATAGTAATATCATATACTATATAAAATGCCAATTTAAAATATAAACAAATTTATAATATAGTTATCACATAAGTACAAGTATTGTCATTTCTATGTAGAATTTATAACAATTTCCCAATGTAATTCAAGTGTATAATGATGCTAAAAAATAAAAAAAATATCTATATTCAATTTTTTGGTCAAATTAAATTATTTTTCTTCTTTAATTGGATTAACGAATATTTTTTTAACGTTTCATAAATTTAAAGTATAAAATACATACATACACATTACTTTTTGGTTTTGTTGAAATTTATGCATTTATCTATAATTCACATATAAATTTCTTTTCTTTAATTAATCAATTTTTGAATACTACTGCAAAGTATTTTTAGAAAGACTTTTATGATGATATTATAATCATGAGAAAAAAATCAATTTTAAAGAAAGCAAGATATTTATCACAAGCAGAAGAAACTTCCTGTATATTAGATAAACAATATAGTGAAACAAAAGAAAATGAAGATAGCTCCTCTAGTGAAAAAAGTAAACTCAATACAGAAATTAGAACATTTGATGAAGATACTAATAATGAACTTTATTTTTATCTTGATGACGAAGAAATTAATAATTCTACAGAAAAATGTCAAAAGTCATCCTCATATGTAAATTGGAGAGGGATGGACTTTGTCAATTTAGTATTAAATGAAGAAACAGATCATAATATCTCAAGTCTTGTTAATTGTTGGAATGAAAAACAAAAATCATTAGAGAAAAAAATACAGGATAAAACAAGTTCAACATGTATTTTGAAAAGTTTTGATTATTGTGGTGTTTTGAAAAAAAATGATGATTGCACCAATCCTTATAAAGATAGTGATTTACCAGGTTTAATATCATTACCATATATCCAACTCAATGAGAGTGATCAAGAACAAAATAAAAGACAAATTATTTATAATAGACTTACTAAGTTTACTGATATTACTAATGATATATCTAATTACTATTATAAAGTATATGAAGCTAATAAAAGTCAACTTAATTGTGGAAAGTGGAGTATGTATATACATAAGAGAGGAAAACAATTTGTAAATATGGTGTACTATGAGTTTTATTCCGAAGAAACTTTTAGAAATCATTCTACTAATATTTGGAATGATTATAGCACTAATAAACAAAATAGTATATTAAATGACACAGGTAATCGATGTAATATGACATCACTAATTTATCAAATTAAAGAGCGACAAGATGCAACTGATCCATATGATATGTCTTGGATTCCTTTAGAAGACCATGATGAATCTGATGAAACTTTAGATCCTACAACTTCATTACCATATAATGCACAACCTCCAATGGAAAGTTCTGATACATCACATCCTATTTCTGTTGTTGATCCATTAAATGAGGAAACAAAAGCTAAATTGGGCGTTTTTAGAGATTCTAAAAATGCTACCCTAAATGCTATATCATCACCGGATGATGCAGATAAAGCTTCAGCGGCTGAAAAAATTGCAAAAGCTGCAACTACTGTTTCTCTAGGAGATCCACCACAACGCAATTCTTTAATTTCAAACAGCACGAATGGACATAACTCGTCTATAACTGAAACTACAATTTTACCTTCTACAGATGATAACTCTATACTTCATACTACTATCGTTGAATCTCCTGAAAGTAATGCTACGCCTTCAACAACTGTACCTTCTCCTGAAACTACACCATCTCATACAACCATGTTATCTGCAGATAGCAGTTCATCTTCCTCAGGAATTTCTTCATCCCCTATCACTGAGTCTGGTAATTTTACAGCTAATGATGGTGCTTCTCCATTGAATGGTACACATTCTATAAATAGACATTCATCTCCTGCTATGGATATGCCCGAATCTCCCACTCCTATCAGTGTACAACCTATAACTCTTACTGAAATTAATTCCAATGGTACTACATCTTTTTCAAATGAATCATTAACTGAGTCACCTAATTCTAAGCCTCCAGTGGAGGCACATATTCCTTCAATTAAAACAGAACTTCCCAAAAATGATATTGTGTCTCCATCCTCATTTAAATCCTTAGCGCCTTTAGATATCAAGGCATTTCCTAATAATACAAATGAATCTACTACAATAAATAATGATATACAATTATCTGAAGCAAGCTATTCCCCAACACAAAGTTCAGAAAATACACTTACTTCTATTGCTAAACCTATTAATTCACCTTTAATCGAATTTCAAAATAATACATTATCAAATTGTTCGAGCAATTGTCCCACAAATATGAATGTTCCAGATAGTACTACCGCACAAACTCCATTAGATGAGAGTCTTGAACCTACACCTACAATTAATCCTGCAGGAAGTATAATAACAGGCGTTTCAGTAGGTATATTCATTTTAGGAATTGTTCTCCTTTTAATTATTATATATAGAGTAAGATAAAATTATTAATTAAAAACTCAAAAACATATATATATAAAATACTAATAACTATATTAGTTAAATTTTCATAATATTCTTATTTTTAATTCTAATTATAGTGCACTCCTATTGGATCTTGGATTCGTAATCGAAAATCAAAGAAAAAAAAAATAAGAAAAAAGATAAAAAAAATTTCAAAGAAACCAATGCCATCATCTACAAATAATATAGAGGATGGACCAATGAATAGTGGAAATCACTCTTTGTTACAGCATGAAAAACAAATACCACAATGTGAGGTTAGTTTTGAAAGTGAAGGAAATTTTAAACATGAGCAAATGGGAAAATCCAAAGAACTTAAAGGAATATACAATGAAAAAGGAAATATACGCATTTGTGATGATAAAGAAAAAGGGTCAAATATGCATGAAAATAAATTTATAGATGAAGAAAAATTAAATACAGATAATCCTAAAAGTGAAATTAAAAAAGAAAAATTGAGTGGAAATGAACCTAGTAGTGAAAATGAAGATGAATATAATAAAAATATATTAGAAAAAGATCCTGTTCATATTGTATGTCATATTAGGAATGGCACATTAAATGAGGAAAAAGCAAATGAAATAAATTCGCAAAAGGAAAAATCTACATGTGAAATTGAAATGAAAAATTTAGGAAATAAAACGTCAGTCAAGAATGATGTATGTAATTGGAATTCATGGGTAGATATACATATGACTGCATTGCTAGAGTGTAAAAAAGAGGAATGGAAATTGAATAAAATAGAATTTTTTAATATTTGTTTAGAAGAGATAGAAAAAGATGGAGAAAATTCTAATTTAAAAGAAATGCGAAATCATTTTATAATGAAAATTAAAGAAGAAAATAGTAACGATAAAATAGTTAAAAAAAGTAGTATATTAGAGAAATATAAAAATGAAAAGTGGTTTATTAATTTGAAGAAAGAGTGGAAAGAAGAACAAGAAAAATACTTAGGATATTTAGATGAACAAGAAATTGAAAAAATGACAGAAATGGGAGTAAATAATTTTATGCTAGATAAAAAAAAAAAAATATGGAAGAAATGGATAGAATGGCAAATAGAGCATTCATACGAATACAAAAATCAGAAATGGTTTGTACAATTGCTTGAAGAATATGAAAAAGAAGAAATTGATAAAAATTTAAAGGAAGAAAATATAGAGAAAGAAAGAAATAATGGAATAGATAAAAATGAAATGAAGAAAAATTTGGAAAGGAGAATTTTGTTAGATATTCATATGATGGTATTAGAGGAATGTACGAAAGAAGAGTGGGAAAAAGAAGAAGAATTTTTTAAGGCAAATATGGAAGAGATAAAAATATATAAAAATTTGGACGAAGAAACAAACATATTAGATAAAATAGAAAGAGAAGGAAGTTGGAATGTTATATCAGAGATAGAAAAAGAGGAAATAGAAAAATGGAAAAATGAAAAATGGTTTATTGAGTTAATGTTAGAATGGAAAAATAATGAAGAAAAATATATGATGGAGATGAAAGAAGAAATTTTAGCAAAAAAGAATCAAGGAAGAGTA